ACCTTCTTACATAATTTATGGCGCAATCTTTATGCCATAATACTTAAAGAACATAATGCTGCACATTTTAAATCAATTTTGACAGTGGCCTACATTTCCACTCACAAGCTATTATTAAGATACAATGCAGTTGAAAGATATTTTATGTAAAAAAGTATATCAGTCAACTCAAATGAACTCTTGTTCCCAGTCATGACATATTATCCTCTAATTAAATCAGCTGAGATAACTCACAATCGCGCTAAAATTAATTTCCAAATCAAGAGTTTAACAAGTGGCACTTCTAATAGCCCAACTTTTAGATTGCTTTGATACCTAGAATTAATGTGATTCTTTTAGAGATCTAGTGACTTGTAGAATCATGCTTTTAAACAATTGAAGTTCACCTTACTCATTTGTGCATTATGCTGTTCTTCTAAAAACTTTTAAAGAAATCAGCTAACTAATAAAGGCGCAAAGAAATCAGAAATCTTTGAAGGAGGCAGATAAACAGAAATTAAACAATTTATCTCAAACTAGGATATTTACTGTGGCTTTAAAGAGTAAGAGTTACCAAACACTGTTTTCCATTTATGTTAATGTGATATCTCCATGGAAACGGAAAAAAGAAAGGGTTGTGTAAGTTGTAAATATATTAAATTAGTTGGTTTGCTGGGAGAGCAGACAGAAAGACAGGTTTCCAAAGAAAGGAAATAGTCATTGGGCAAAGGTCAGTGAAAACGAAACATTATATATTTTGAAACAAGCCAATAATCTTTTTAATCCATAGAATTTTAAATAAATACTTGATAAATTAACATCAAAGAGATAAAGAGTTCAGTGCTTTCTTAATATCCAGCTGTAATTCAACTCTCAAAATACCTGGGACAGAAAAAGTTGCAAAGTAAATACTGAAAATAGTTACAATTTTTTTTCTAATCTGTGGCGATAAACGCTCTTCTTCCTTCTAGCCCCATGAATAACTTTCCATCATGAGCTTTGTTGCACTAACTCAATATTTCAGTAGGCCTAGTATACTGAAAACAATCAACACATGTACTTTAGTTTCTGTGCTTTACTATATCTATGTAAGAAAACGATCAGGAATATGTGTAAATACATGAACTATTTATTGGCGGTAGCATGGCCAATTCCTGAGGATACAAAATCCAAAGTCAAAGTGATTTTGAGAAATTAGAGACGTTGGAAGAAAATAGAAAAGTATTTAGCATGCACAACTGGAAGGGATATATATATATGTATATATATGTATATACATATATATGTGTGTGTGTGTGTGTGTGTATATATATATATGTATATAGTGATTAATAATACCAGGCTATATATATATATGGAATGAGGAAATAAGATTTTACATGCATGCAATCAAAATGAATGGTGAATGTTTAATATTGTAAGGCAGTGGGCCAAGTTAGGTCTATAGACCTTGGAGTCAGTGAGCCCAGGTTTGAATTTCAGCCTCATCACTTACTAGTTGAGTCACCCTTAGGTAAGCTAAATAAAATTCCTGTTGCACAGGCTTTTCATCTATAAAATGAGGCTAATGTGTAGTATCTACTAAGTTATTGGAAGAATTCAGTAAGGTGATAGTATAAAGGTAATAATTTTTAAGAAGGTGATGGGCACATAATAAATGCTATATATGAGACTGTTAAATAAAGTCACATTACATAAACAATGAACACATGATCATGTAGGCCAATAAGTCACTGTTAACTACAAAGTGTTATAATTAATGATCCCAGCAAGGCTCAAGGCATAAAACAGTGGCCGGGTAAGCCTGAAACAACATTCTCTGAATTTCCCAGAGTTTTAAGCAGGTGCTATTTTCGGTGGTAGAGTTCCTTTAGAAGTTTAGAGCCACCAAGATAAGGAGGATTGGAAAATTAGGTAATAATTCTGATGCATGAGGAAAGACTAGAATGTTTCACGCTGACCTTTGATCAGAATAACTGTCCTAACAAAGACCCTGATGATTCACTGCTCAGTATCCTCCCAGAAGACAGAACAAGAAAAAATAAGCAAGAGCATTGTGAAGGCTTTTGGCTAGAGATCTGGAAACATTTCTATACCACAAGAATTGCTAAATATTAGAATGGATTGCTGACAGGGGATCAAGAGTCTACTCCTTTGGAAGTTTTTCAAACAAGGATAAATAGAGTCTATCTGATCTCCTTGCGATGCTTTAAAATCAGCACTGAGTGAAGACTGATGGTGCAAACTGCCCCTCGAAGGCCTCCTCCTTCCCAAGCATTCTCTGAAAGTATAACTTTATATATTATCTATCATACTCCCTCATCTGTTGCATTTCTTTTCTATCCTAGAATAGAAAAGGGCAACACTATTTCACAGTTTTGAGTTCTAGTGAAACTTTGATAATGTCATGATGAAACATAATGTCCTCATTACTTCTTAAGTTATTTCACTAAACAAGCTACCTGCAAATATCTTTCAATTAGAAACAGTTGTCATGAGCTGAAGTCTGAAGAGCAATTCTTTTAAATTTATGTGCCCTGGCAGACTGAAGACACATGAAATTCCTCAAGCAAATCATTAGATGTCCAATCAAGGCAAAGGATAAAAAAGAATTAGATAAGATAACCTTTTACACTGGATAATTAAACGTAAGCGGTATCAAGAACTAGGGAGGAGAGACACAGTGTGTTCATCTAAGAACAGGGTATATTTCCTAAGTGATCATTAAAACTGCAATAGGCAGCATTAAGTAAAGTTGACTTTGAAAAAACAAGTATGTTCCTAAAAAACACAATTATCTTTCAATTCATTATTTTCCTATTAAATGTGCGCCTGACCCTGTAGTGACCTGCTGCTTGATTATGTCTACCAGCATCAAAGGATGCCGGGTTTACAGCAAAGTTAACAGTGGGCCCTTAGTCATGGAAAGCAGGTAAGTTAAAAAAAAAAAAAATGCACACATTTAACAAATTTATAGCTAATAAGCAAACACCATAATTGCAAAAAGGTGGTGAGGATACAAAAAAAACGAAAACCAAAACCAAAACCTCTGTAAATATCCACCGTAGAATCTACAGGAACCCCTGGGAATGTTCTCCACAAACATTCATGGTGGCTACAGAAATTATTTTACACTGAAAATCTTCACTTTGATATTAAAGAGATGTGCCTGATGGTGAGGATTGAACTCTCCTCTCCTCAGAGTATTATCCGCTAAATACCGAAGCAATTTAAAAATACCTATTTTCTTCTTTGAGACAGCTTATCTGAAATCATGTTGGGAAATATCTGTGTGCTTAAAAGGTACTGTTTGTAAAAGACCAGGTTAAAGGAGAAAAGTTCCTAGAAGTGATCCATACTACAAACCTTTTAAAAAGTTGAATTCCCTGAGATTTGGGGAGGGGGACAAAAAGCGAAGCTGATCCTTATTAATTAATTAAAAGGAATGAAATAACAGTAGACAAAGGAGAAGGAGAGTTAAGAAACTTAAGGAGCTGTAGGGACAGCCGGTCTCTATTCATTGATTAACAAATTAAGGAGTTCTGGAAAAGAAGGAAGAAGTAAGGAGGATAGAAAAGTAGTGTTATAATTCACCATAGATTCTTCCTTAGACTCACCAGAGGGAATGTCTGGCTCGGAATTGAAAAAGCTCCTTCTATAGAATGCGCTTGGTAATTTGTGCCTCTTCCCCCACTCCCTTTGGCAATGCTTAAATTTATTTAAATGTGTTCGTTTCAGTGTAAGTAAAAACCCTCACTTCTACAGCTTGAAAATCACAAGAAAATAGCAGTTTCACAAGGTATCGAAACTGTGATGTTCTAAGATATCTGCAAAATGCTTTTCATCCATCCACCAGTTATTTGGCAAAAAGCAGAGAGAGGCTGATGGAAATTCAACGTTTTGACTTGGCGATCTGAGGTCACTAAGGACTTGAGCTGCCCGATTTGAGCAGCCCGCGCCCTCGCAGCATCTCCTGGCCTCCCTCGGCCTCTCTCAGTTCTGTTCTTTAGCAGCCAAAGGATTATCTCTCCCCGACACGTTTCATTCACAGAGCCCCAAAGAAGCTGGGATTCGGTTGGAGCTAAGAGCCGGAAAACAAGCACCCAGACTGCCTGGCTAAGTTATCGGAGACCAAGTGCTACACACGCTAGCGCTGGGAGAGAGGGTGGGCGCTCGCAAGCTCTAGGTGGAGCAGTGCCAGGGGCCGGGCAGGAGGGGGACCCGGGGCCCCCGGACCCGAATACCCAGCGGAGCCACCCGCTGAAGTTGGCTGCCCGCTGCAGACGAGGCCGGCTCCGGACCGGGTGGCGGAGTGTCCCCGAGCCCTGAGTGGCCAACAGCAACCAGGGAACCTCAACGGGAAAGCCCGCCCCGCATCTGAAACAGGCAGCCCGTGAAGTCCTCAAACCATCCTAGAAACGCCGGAGTCCGGAGGCCAATCCCCCGCGAGGGTCCCTCCCAGCCTGGTCCGGCCCGGGTGCCGTGCGCTCTGCCTCCCGGGAGGACAGGGAGAGGGGCGAGAGGGGCTGGGGAGCTCTCCGCGTCTCTCCACCGCCCCTGCCGGCGCGAGGGCGGGAGTGGAGAAGGCGCCACTCAGACTGTGGCGCTGAGCAAACTGCGGTCGCAGTTCTTCCAAGTTTGCCCGAACCAAACGCGGGGTGAGCGACCGGCTCGGCTCTCTGTCCGCGCCTCGCGGCCGCCGCGGAATAACCCGGTCTCCCTGGCCTGCCGGGCCTGAGCCATCCACGAAGGGGCAGAAGGGCGCGAGGGCAGAGGGAGGCGGGAGCGAGGGTGCTCCCGCGTGTGCACACAATGAGGCGGCGGAGACGCTCACCTTCCCCCCCGCCGGAGAAGCCGCAGGAGCATCGTCCGCCCTGCGCGGAGACGCGGAGTCCGGTAGAGCCGTGGCAGAAAGTGAACACCAAGTCAGCAACAGGGGGAAGGAAGGGGGCGCCCGGCGGCCGGGGGGACGCGCGGCAGCCGAGGGCTGCAGCCTGCCCCGGCCGCGCGCCCGCGCTTACCTGCGATCTCCTGGAAGGGGATGTCCGCCAAGCTGAATCCCTTGGCACCGTAGGCTTGGCGGACCTCGCCGCAGCTCCGAGCCTTCACATCCGCCCCGGCCGGGAGAGACAGCAGCAGCCCGGAGAGGGGAAGAATCACAGCCCCGATCCAAGAAGGCATGGTGCAACATGCAAATCCAGCTCAGTCAACCCCTCTGCCTGTGCGCTCTTCACCTTGCCCCTCAAGCCGAAAGCCCGCCAGAGGCAGCGGCGCGCTCCTCGCCGCTGCCCAGCGTCACCCCCTTCCGCCAGCCGAGGGGACCAGCAGCGCAGCCCTCTGGACTGCGCTCAGCAAACTTTTATAAGCCAGATGGAGGATGGCAAGCCAACAAGGGCTGGCTGGGAAGGCAGCTGCCTTGCTCCTGTAGCCCCCAGAGCGAAACGGTGCAATCAAAACCAGGAAGAGAAGGAAAAGAAGTGTTTAAAAAAACACCATGGGGGCTTAGAGCTGCAATCCGAGTTCCGAGCCGCAGAATCCTGGAGCGCTGCGGGCTCGGCTCGCCGGAGTGTGCGGCGGAGGTGGGAACGCGCGCCGGCTCTCCCCGGAGGGAGCTGGACAAGCGAGAGCGAGTGTGTGCGCGCGTGTGTCCGCTAGTGTGAGCGCGAGGTTCTTGGGGATGTGTGTGCGTGGAGGTATGTGTTGGGGATATACGAGATCTAGGGGGAAACCTCAGCTTCACACAGGCTGTAGGAGCCTGTGAGAGTCCTCCTGAAATAGGAAGAGAGAAATCCTGGAGACAGACACTGGAGGCTAGAGGGAAGGAGAAAGGAGGGGGGAGAAAGAAACGTGCTACACATTGCACAGCCGAAATTCACAGGCCGAGTCACAGGCAAAACCTGGACTGGATCTCTTCCTAGTCGGTAGAAAGGGGGAAAGGAAAAAGAAACGTTCCTATTTTCTTATTCACTTCACATCCTTTATAGTGATCTGAAATGAAATAAATAAGCAATCTAGAAAGACAAGGTAATTTAAAGTCATTAACATGCTATTAAGCTGTATCTTTATGGAGGTAAAGGAGGACACAGTTTCAATTGTTGCTCTTGATATATGTTCCTGATCTGCTGAAACACAAAGCCACAGTGGAAATAGTCATATACGGGAGTTCCTGGGTGGCAGAGAACGATCACGGCTCCAACCAGTCGTCTAATTTCTGTTTGGCTTTGTTTTTGTTGGTTTGTTTTATTTATTTATTTTTCCTAAAGGCACACATTGGAGACCATGAGTTCTTTATTTTTAAATGTTTGGTTCTAGACTCAACAATTTCACTTTTTAAAATTTCAAATATTCCATAGCCTTAGATCAGAAATCATTATGTTTAGGTTTCCAATGTGTAGAGGAGCAGGAAAGCTAACAACCAGAACACAGAAGCAACAAGAAAAGGAGAGAACAGGGGGCAGAGGTGCATAAAGGGAGAGAATGGGGAAGGGAGATGATACCTTCCCTCTCGCCAGATGCCCTCACATAGTAGACTTAACATTTTCTTCCGAGTTAACATGAGTCACAAGTGAAGAATCAATCCAATTTCTTCTTTCTGTCTCCATTTACACTGATGTTCTGTGAACAGGATAAAAGTGAAAATTCAGGTTTGCCTAATTGACTTTGTTATGCTAATGGACTCACTGAAGTCAGCTGGCAGAAGTGTATGTTGAAACCCAGAGCTCCTGGAACTAATAAGATAGTTTAATGAAAACTAAGACCAGATGATAATAATAGTGTTTACGCACTTACATGGCTATATGTTTTGTACGTCAGCAAGTTATTCATAAACTTAATACAAGATAATGCCCAGTTTTATGGAGCTTACCTATGAAGCTACACATAAAAATGTTTTCCTGATGATGGTATGAATGACCAAGAATGACTCAGAAATTTAAATCATTCAATTTGTCATTATCATCATCACAAACATTGGGTACATTGTCTTCCTCTCCTTCATTAATTCCTCGTCTCCTAACCCACCAAAAAGATTCTCAAGATTCAACCTCATTTAACCTTTGCAAACGCTTTAAAAATGAAGTCGACTTATTTACAGAATGACTTTGTCTTCTTCAAACTCATAGGTAAAAACAAAACAAAACCAAAAAAAAAAAAAGAAAACTCCATAGCTAAATATTTCTGACAACGCAACACACTTAACTTTTTTTCTCTTAAAATTTTAGCATAATTTTTTTTATTTCACAATATTTATGTTAACTGGCAGACTTTAAATCACTGAGCTTATTTTTCCTCAAGTTGGAAATATATTTCAAGATAAAATATATTCTGGTATGTTTGTGGACAAATGGTGAGGTTGGTAGGATCAGGAATTGCAGTCAAGTCATTACTTCTGTGATATTTGACAACATGACTTCCTTCAAACTTCTCTATCATAGGCATTATGCACTCCAGAGGAAGGAGGCAAAAACACATACCCCTTATCTTACCAACTTATCCTGGGACTCATTGTAATTTACCCTGACTTACTATAACAGATAATTCAATTTTTTTTTTTTGAGACAGAGTCTCTGTTGCCAGAAACCAGGCTGGAGTACAGTGGCACAATCTTGGCTCACTGCAACTGCCGCCTCCTGGGTTCAAGCAATTCTCCTGCCTCAGCCTCCCAAGTAGCTAGGACTACAGGCGCACGCCACCACGCCCAGCTAATTTTTGTATTTTTAGTAGAGACAGGGTTTCACTATGTTGGCCAGGATGGTCTCGATCTCTTGACCTCGTGATCCGCCCACCTCGGCCTCCCAAAGTGCTGGGATTACAGACTTGAGCCACTGCGCCTGGCCAATTCAATTTTTTAAAATGGAGATGTAGGAAGAATGGGTAAAAGCATAGTATAGGTGGTTTTAAATTATTTGAAGATCAACTAATTATTAGGTATTGAATGAGCACTCAGTACAACTATATAGCACTAGACTATTGTACGCAGTCCCTATACTTACAAAATGATCTTAGGATTTGTGACAAAGATACTACATGAAAAAAATGACTAACTTAAGCATAAATAGGTTAGTTTAATTCCATCAGGAGGGCCAAATAGTTTAGGGTAGGTTTGTGAACTCAAGTCAAACCAAAGAATTAGATAACTTGCTTTACTGGTGACCTTAGCCCTGTCTGGTCCATTTGTTGGGTAATGTCACACTGTTTGCAGTGGTGTAAGAGGCAAACTCAAACATTCCAGTTAATGCTAAGTAAGCCACAGCAGGAGCCTAGACAAGGTGCTGGAATGAGCATGGAATGTTATGGAAGTTCAAAGAAGAGGCCTGGCCAGACAGGAGAGAAGTCATTTCAAAGAGTAAGCATCTGTTTTAGACAAAATGGTAGCTAAAGGCTAGAACCCTCGCTATAGTATTTATATTGTGTATAGTAGGAAAAAGGAACATGGATAATGTCATAGAAGAGAAAGCAAACAAAAAGAAGCAAGAGAAAGGAAAGCAGGAGACACATATAGAACTCGGCCACCATGGTAAAAGCATAAGGTAATTGATACCTAAAATAGGAGGAGGGAAAATGGAAAGATGTACATAGATACTGAGGAAAGGATTAGCATCACTTGGTGCTTGGTTCAATACACAAGAAGAATTACTCAATATTTATTTTAAGATTGTGTCTCTGCTGGGCGTGGTGGCTCACACCTGTAATCCTTGCACTTTGGGAGGCCGAGGAGGTGAATTGCCTAAGCTCAGGAGTTAGAGACTGGCCAACGCAGCGAAATCCCTTCTCTATTAAAAATACAAAGAAAATTTGCTGGAATGATACATGTGCCTGTAGTTTCAGCTACTCAGGAGGTTGAGGCAGGAGAATCCTTTGAACCCTGGAGGCTGAGGTTGCAATAAGCCAAGATCGAGCCACTGCACTCCAGCGTGGGAGACAAAGGAAGACCCTGTCTCAAAAAAAAAAAAAAAAGGATCTCAGGAAAATATGGTATGCTTATTAAGACAATACAACTCCTGTTTATACAGTACTTTCACTTTCCAGCTGATTTTCACGATAACTTTTTTTGGGCATAACATGAATGAAGCCTCAGAGAATTTGAGTTGTAGAGAAAAAAAGACTTAGTCTTGGGCAGCAGCCACAGGTGACAGACAATCGTGCAGCCTTTGTCAATCACAGATTCCAAAGTCGTTGCCCTTTCTTTTTTGCTACTCTGATTATATCAGGGAGATTATATCAGGGAGCATTGTGCTCACCACCAAGGGATGAATCACAATTGGTCCTTTTCCCGATTCCATTAAATGGTGTAGGGGTAGGTGTAAGACCCATTTCTAGCCAATGTGATTTTTGGAGATTTCCCAACAAAAAAATGTTTTTCCTGATTAAAAGAGCAAAGGGTCATTTTGCCTCAGCCTCTTGCCTTCTTAGAACTACATAGCCGTCTTTTGATTGAGACACAAGACATTGCTAAAAGACAATGACAGAACAGAGGGAAGGAAAGAACCTAGATCCTTGAGTTCTTATTTGAGTCACCAAACCAGCCTTAGGACTTCCAACCTCTGGGCTTCTTGTTAGATAATCAATAAATATCCTGTTGTTTATGCCATTGTTAGTTGGTTGTTCTACTGTTTTCAAGTGAAAGCAACTTAGCCTATACACAAAACTCAAGGAAAAATTAAAAAAAATTGAAGGCAAGAGACAGGGAATAGTTTCAAAGGCAAGAAGAGAACTAAAACATTAGGTAGCATTGTGGAACCCAGGTGAGGAGACTTTCAAACAAAGCAAATTGCAGTGGATAAGAAAGAGCTGGAGATAATGATACTTACAATGACAAGGAAGCTTACTGGAAATTTTGAGAAACATTTTAGTAAACTGGGTGGATGCCAAACCACATGGAATCATGTGTGAATTGGGTGGAAAGAATATGGAAATATCAGGTAAAACTACAGTGTGGTAACTGTATGTGAAAGAGGCAGAGAGGTAGTCTGGAATGCTTTCCAGAAGCTTCTAAGACTTCAGGGAAGAATAAGTAGACATGAAAAGAAAATGAAATCCAATATGATCTAACCGGGTTGGTTGATTTTAAGTGTTACTTCTCTTATCTGCATTTTTCATTTTTTATTTTTTTTTACAACAAAGATGAGTCCTTGGTTATGAGAGAAAAAAATATTGTTTTGACATATATATGTCACACTTTAAAAATAAATACAAATTATAGCATTTGCTTTGTTTTACAAAGTGAAAAGGTCTTACCTTATCTCATGTAAGTAAAACAATTGGCTGTTAATATTTTTCTGATAAAATAACAACTCAGGTATGAAATGTGTTAATTTTTTTTAAATCCTTGAGTTTAAAAATAGCAGAGACGTAACAGAACTTATCATCCTTTTGCTCAGTTATAGTAAGTCATGAATGAAAAACTGGGTGAATTTTAGTTTTTTCTTAGTATTTTTTTAGATCAAAGTAGGACAAATAACTTCAAATAAAATCTTATGAAAACAGGAGAATGGACTTCAAGTGTCTATTCCACATCTCAGCTTGGCACAAATCAAAATCGCTTAGTTAACCTGCCTCTTGAAAAACAGGGCCTGTAATGAAAAAGCTGTCAGAAATTTAACAACAGTAGCTCTGCCAGGTGCCTGGATAATGGGAAGGTTGCTGAGTTACAGAGAAAGAAAAGGTAAACTTGGGTGAGTAATGATCAGAAATGGTGAAAATCTTTCATTTCCATTTTATGGTTTATATCCAATGAAATCCAAAAGTTCATTTAACATTTATTGCACCTTAAACGTATACCTAGTGCTAATATAAAGTAATTAAAATTATGTCTTTAGGGCAGCTGAGAACAAATGGAGTTGCTAATGATCTCTTGGGTGAAAACCGAACACCATGGGGCAGCAGATTCTTCTTGTCTTACAATATTCTTCTTAGACTCTGAAGCCAGAACTGTGTGGCTTCAAAGAAGAGAAGCATGTGATCTACTTAATCAGATTTTCTCCTAAAAGTTATGACAAGGTTTATCCAAGAGAATAGAAAGGACTCTAATTATTTAATTATGTTTAGTCTTCATATATGTCAGAAATTTAGACAATAAAAATATTCCATATAATCTTTTTCAGGCTGGGTGC